ATTGGTAATCCGTACGATCGGCGGAAACATAACAGCAATGACTTGATGCGCGCGAACACAGTCTGGTATTCTGGCGTCCAATTCTCGGTTTGGCCCTTGCTCAGCAACTTTTTCAGCGGTGAACGCAGGCGATGCAGTTCGGGCAGAAAAGCCCTGTTATGACTGATTAGGCCACAGAATGAACGCAGCGATTGCAAGTCGGCAGACGGGGCCATCTTGTGAATAGCTCGGATATTTCCTGGATCAGGGCGACGACCGTCTTTTGAGATAATGAAGCCGAGAAACATGATGGTTGGTGTAAAAAATGTACACTTGTCTTCACGGATACGGAAACCAGATGACTGGATGTGTACAAGTACTTCAGCGAGCCGCTCAAATAGTTCTTCTGTCGTCTGACCCATTAAAATGATATCATCCAGGTACGCCGCAGCTCCAGAAACTCCCGCGAGCATGGTGTCCATCAGCTGCTGGAAAATGGCTGGTGCTGTTTTCACTCCAAAACGGAGGCCGTTGTACTGGTACAAGCCGTGATGAGTGTTGATGGTCAGCAATTCTTTTGAGCTTTCATCAACATCGATCCGGAGATAGGCATTGCACAAGCCGAGCTTGGCGAAACACTTGCCACCATTCAACTTAACAAAGATAGCCTCTATTTTCGGAAGAGGGGTATTGATGATCGTCCAGTGCGGTATTCAGGCCAGTCGAAAAATCGGCGCAGACACGCACTTTACCATTCGACTTTCTCACAGCAGTGATCGGCGCAGTCCACGAAGAGTAGTTCACTGGTGTGATGACACCGGCTCGCTCCGGTTGGTCCAGATCCTGATCAACTGCTGCCATGACTATATACGTGTTGGCCTTTATGCTGTGAAGACTGGCTTGATTCCTTCGCGAAGGCACAACTTTGCTTTGAACTTAGTGCAGTGACCGAAACCATCTACAAACAAGGCGGCAAACTTCTGCTTTTGCTTTCACGTCATGTCTTCTATCGACAATGATGTATGGACTGGATCGGTTTGTACTCTATTGCAAATCTGACTCATTGGAAGTTCGAACAGTTGTAACTTTTCCATTCAGTCAAGCTCAAAGAGGTTTAAGTTTGGTCGGTCAGACAAGTGACAGGTTCGGGCCTGTTCCACTCCATTGAGTGCAATTTTGCAAGTTATTTCTCCGACCAGTTTCAGCACTCCACCGGATGCGTTATGGGCGAGTTTATTGGAATCAACCATCTTCGGCCTCTTTATGTGTTCCCAAGTGTTCTTGGAAACGATCGTTATATCTGATGCCGTATGGAACTGCAGCCTGGTTGGGATTCCGTTGAGTAGCACAGTGATAAATCGGCGGCGTGTTCTAGAATCGCTGTGAAACGTGGCAATCACCGATAGTGATCCTGCGTCAGGCTTCCTGAAGTTCTTCTTTCGGTAGGACTGCTTCCCATTTCTTTTCCGAGACTGATGACAAACGTCTTCCTTGTGACCGCCTTTATAGCACTTATCACGAATGTGACGCTTGGATGGACAGTATCGTGCGAAAGGACATTCACCACATGACCAACAAAGTGTAGGCGGCTTGTTCGGCGTTCTGTTGAACAGCTTGATCGAGCCAGCCTTTCTTGCTTTCTGCACAGCATGAACAGTATCGGCAATGAAGGGGCGACTCTGCTCAATATTAACAGGTGGTTTGAAGTAATCAACCGTTTGCATTCGCCTACAAGAGACTTCAATGTCAAATCTGGATCTTGATCCAACTTAGCAAGAAGCCGAGTGCGGATTTCCGCGTCGTATGGAGACTGTAAAGCCCTGACAAATATGAGACGCTTAAACTGGTCATCCGTCAAACAGCGTAACTTGAAACGTTCACGTTCACAGTTAACCATGTCTGCTAGTGCCCCATAATCGTCTGTATCACGCTTAACAATTTTTAGACATTGGTAGCGAATGCTAAACAAAGACGTCGACTCACCAAAAGTTTCTTTGAGTGATGCCACTGCTTCGTTGATAGTGATATCCTTCGGCTCTTTGGGCAAGATGTGGTCAACGAATCTTGTATCTTCATTAGTACCGAGCTTGCGGAGCAAAAGACGCACTTTCCATGAATCATCCTGACGGCTGAAATCCGTCTGGAACATGTCCTCCCAACGTTTGAACCACGCCTCTAAAGTGCATCCGGAATCAGCATCATGATGAAGTTCATGGATTGCATTCGTAAGAAGATCAAGTGAAACAGCCTGCGTGTTCCGTGTAGCTGCTCCGTTTGACTGTCTGTTCAAGCACTGCGTCAAACTTTCAATCAGTTTCATTTGTGCTTCCGTCTGTGATTGTTGCTGAAGAAGCAGATTTTGAAACTGTTCGGCGGAAAAGGTTGTAACATTTTGGTGCTTGTCCGTCGCCAATGTTAGATCTTCACGTGTTTTCGCTATTCCGAGGGAAACCTCCAAAAATTTCTCCGCAAAATTCTAGCCCAGCCGAAGCAAAATCAAAAATCCAGCGATCTTAAGCACGCAAAACGTGTTAACAAACACGCTGCCAAACGTAGCCAAAACGCTTAACAACTACGCCAGACTTATGGGAATTATATAGGGGGCTCAATAACCTTCGGCTTCTAGAAAAGGAAGGTCAACTGGTAAAGTTAGCATTTTCTCTGCCAAAAATCCGTATGCTGGCGAGCACGTGAAGAAATGTAAGGTTCCAAAAACTTCGAGATCAATGCGTGATAGAAGATAATCGATTAATTGCTAAAATAGTGATTTTCATTTGTTGTTCATTTTCCGGAATGCTTTCGGCGTACGTTGTGGAGAATCAGTGTATATTGTTTCTGCGCAAGCCGTTGCTATCTCGCACATCGATACATCTGTCTCATCGTTGTGTCTGCCCTGATCTGGGTATTCTACACCGAGAGGAAGAGGAAGCCGGACATACTTCACTTCGTAGGACTTAATACCGTTGCCCCTTGCTAACGGGAATGGGCTGATGGATAATCCCAAGTCCTATGCCGCAGTCGCGAATGCCAGCACCTCAGCAAAAGTGAGGATAACCATAGCTTAGAACAAAGCTTTGAAGACGATGCCCTCACTCCCTAAGGTGAAATCAAACACCCAAAACGCAGAACTAAAGCTCGTCCTATATGAAATAGCGCAGCTTGAGCAACTGGTCAAAGAGTGGAAGTGTTCACAGAAGCCAACATCACCGGGACGAAACAAGTGGCCTGCTCGCAACCGCTGCGTGATAATCACAAACGTCCTAGAATCCAACAATGAGATCATCAGCTGAAAGGTTACTCGACTGACCAAGCCTTCCTTAGACAAATGATCTCCATATTGTTTTGATAAGAGTGAACAAGTAATAAACCTAATCTCTGCTTTTTGCCTTGGCAGAAAACAAGAGGACCTAGTCCAAGTTTCGTCTTCTGAAATATCGTCTGTAGGCTGAAGAAAAATGGCAGCGCGTCTGGGGATGGATCCCGCGCCTCAAAGGTGAAACCTCCTGCGTTCTGAAAGACTTCTCCTCAAAGAGCCAAGTCCGAATGAGGCAAGCTGTCTACGAGCTGCGAATCCGACGAGCAAATGGAGAAACAGATCTATACATAGTTGTTTTTCGCATAGTAAGAAAAACTCGGAGAGCTTGATGGAGGCCAATCCTCCTTCTTTCCGGACCTCAAACATAAAGAACGGATTACGGGTAATACACGCGAACCTGTGCAGTCTCAGAAACAAGCTAGATGGGATTGCTCTCTGAACAGCAACCAGGCCTACTGGCGTTCACCGAAACTTGTCTGTCATCTGATATATCTGACTCGGAGGTTCATGTTTCAGGATATCAGCTGCTTCGATGCGATCGCTTTGGTGGGAGGTCTGGAGGCGGAGTAATCCTCCACGCAGAGAGCTACCTCAAGACCCGCATTGTCCAACTCGCCTCACAATCCACGATCAGAGGACACTGCGTCGAAATTTCTGGCGCAATGACCAGCTCAGATTTAGAACGGCTGCAAATAAGATGGACTGGTGTATTCCGCAATCCTTGGAGCTTGATGACGCATGGGAACGCCTACGATCTATGATGATGCGGCTCATTGAACACTTTGTTCCAAACTGCAAGAGCAGACCACCATCAAAATGACCCCATGGATTGATAAAAAGTAAGATCACTAATGTAAAAACGACAGAAACTATGGGACCGTTTCAAGAGCACAGGACTAACATCAAGCTACTTAGCGTACAAAACTGTCAAAAACATATGCACCCTGAGAAAACGAGACAAATGACTACAGTATGAACATGGACTGGCCATGGAATCCAAAAACTGTCCCAAGAAACTTTTTGCTTACTTGAAGCGGAATGCCAAAACAGGTAGTGGAATCCCCGCTCTGTCCTCTTCTAAGGAAGGTACCGTTCTCTACAGCGATGATGAAAAAGCAAACCTGCTGGCTGCGCAATATTCCTTGGTCATTCAGTGGACATCTTCATTTGCTCAACTGGTGTTTGCCTTGCGAATTATTTCTATATAGACCTAGGTTGAAATTACACCCTGAGCTACGGGCGTTAAGGTTTTTCGGTAAGTCTTCTTCTCTCGCTTGTTGGTTGTTCTTCGTTCCGTCATCCTTGGGATTGCAAGGCAGCGAAGCACAATTCAAATGGCTGAGTATATTGCTGTTGTTAATGATGATAGATCGTAGGAGGGTATCCGTGAGACCGTAGGGAGATGGCTATTAAACGGGCTATACGGAACAGACGCCATCTCATTTACGCCCCGATCTGGAGCAGCAAGGATTACTAAATTCGGCCTGACGTCCAACCTTTGACATGTTCTGGTATGAGTAGTTTGGAGGCATTCTATGGATCCACCCAGTGTAGTTCACTCGGTCGATATGTACACAAACTTTCACAGCAATTTTAGTTGCGGTCACTTTGTAACGGATGCTGATACGAGTTTAGTTCCTGAAATTAGAGCGCACCTTTTTACACTCTTTGTCTGCGCTTTTCAAGCACGTTCTTTTCAATTTCAGAGTTCCTGGGTCTACTGTCAATGGACAGATAATGTTCAAAATTGACAGACCTCACCTGTGCGGTCGGTGGAGCAGCAACCAAGGTAATTAAAACTAACACGACCTATTTCCTCAACTCGTCTAATGTTCTTTTCATTACTTTGTGCTGGAGCTTGGTTTGTTTACCTAGGCAGTGTGCTATCGAAGAATGTCTTGCTCCGATTTGTTTGGCTGACCGTCGCGAAGTTGTTATTACTTCTTTTCCACGAGCTCTCATGCCATTGTATGAAATCTCTGTGAATTCCTTGCCTTACGGCGAGAGCAGATCATCTGCATGCGATTAAGCTTGGCCGAGGCAGTGAACACACTGACGTGCCCTATCATCTAACATCAGGACCGTTTTTCTGTTTAAATGTGATCAATTGGATCCCAAATACGCAGTTCTTTTCATTGGCAATTTCATCGGAGAACTTTGGGGTACATTTGTAGCGGAAAAGACTTCACAAAAACGCTAACGAGAATCTCATTGGGCTACGGTAAGAGTCAGTCCGTATTCCGGTTAGTTCTATGTCTTCCATGTGTCCGAAGCTAGCCGTATGCCACAATAAGAAACGCAATCTGAGCCAGTAACACTTTCGCCTACCAGACACCGAGCAACCACGCCGAACAATCACGACGAACGTACGCGCAGCTAACCGAAGCGAGAACGATGAACAAAATTCGAAGTAGTATTGTTCCGATTTAAATAAAACCACTGTATAATAAATAGTGATAGATAAACAGGTGAATACGATTAAAAATGTGGGCATTTCGAAGCGCTACACATTTTCTCTAGCGGGATATGCTACTGTAACATGGTATTCCTGACCACTGATAATATGCTAATGATGATTGCTGATTGGAAGCAACAACTATGGATATCTCTGTGTAGCTGCATCTAATATCTCTGGGGGAGAAAGACCTGTTTTGTTGGAGTACGCTCGATATGTTTTATATCGGCAGTGTTTTTTCAGGAATTTCTTAATTTTCGACAACGATTTTTCCTCAACTACGTGCTGCAGCAGGTCGTTCCATACATTCACCGCTCTCTGTTCGAAACAGAGTTGGTGAGCAACCCGCTTCAAATCCGGTACTACAAACTTGTACCGGTGTCCTGTGCTGCTTGTTGTGCGCAGGCACAGCAGCGGCCTCAACATGGGGTATTCACCAAGACGCGGTGCGTCATGATGAAGTCAACCTGCAGGCGACAGTAAGCTAGGGTGTAAAGCCCTAGTTTCTTACACTGGTCTTCGTACGACACCTCATAAATTGGGAATCAGCCTGGTGACCACTTGCTGCACTTGCTCAGTTTCTTCTACCTCGCCCCGGATGATAGGACAATACGCGGGAGAGCCATACTCCATCATTGGTCGTATTATTAAGACCAAGGGACGAGTGACAATCTCTTCGGACCGAGTGCTGAAGCTGCGCTTGAGCGTCCAGATCATACGAAGGTTGTTTTGGTAAAGCTTATTCGTGTTGTCCATGGACTTGATGTCGTAGCGTGAGAGTACACCGAGGTCTCTCAGGAATAGTGCGGGACGCAACGGTTGACCCGCCACACTGAAGATTGAACTGTGTTCATGAATTGCGACTTGACCGGATTGATCGGAAGGTTGACCTCCGCATACCATGTGCAGAGGCGGTCTAGGTGCTGCTGAAGCAGGTCGCAGTCATTGGGTGCGCGGATTACTCTACGCTTTCAAGTCATCTGCGAACAACGCACAAGGTGAACGGCGTGATTAAGGCACATCCTTTATATGGATCGGAAACAAAATCGGCCCCAGTACAGTGTCTTGGCACACACCACTACTTGATGGATACCAGTCGGTCAAATGGTTGTTAGCCTGAACCCTTCACTTTCGACCAACAAGGAAATTCTTGATCCATCGGTGCATCGAGCCGCCAAACCCACACACCCTCAGCCTGTCGAGGAGCACTTCATGGTTCATCTTGTCAATACTGGCACATTGCCTGAAAGCCTCAGGCGTCGCTTCACTTGGGCGCAGATCCTCTTGGGAGCAGTTTTTGCGGCGGCTTTAAGCTGCTCTTCGGAGCTTTTGCGCTTTTTTGTTTTCGCGTTCCTGCAGTGCTTTCGCCGTACCTTGTATGCCTGGCAATCCTCATTAAAACCATGTAACATGAATTTGTTCCATAGTTTGCGTCGTCGTCGGGCCAGTTTGCTGTACTCCTTGTCGAACCAATGTGGCTAGACTGGCCCAACTTTCTGATACTTGAAGGGTACAAATCGGGCGCACGACGACTTCACTCACTCCTTAATAATAGTCGAACGGGTTTCAACAGACGAATCCTCTGGTGACGAGCAGTCCATCTGGCTCACTGCTCGAGTGAAGCCATTAAGTCCGCCTCCTAATAGTTTCATGCTGGCTTCAGCAGAAGAGATTACGGCAGTGACAGTTCCAAGCTGGCTATGATCATCGAGTGATCACTCGTTCCCAATGGCTCCAAGACTTGAATGTCATGCACACATTGCTCACAGCAGGTAAAAAGCAGATCTAAGCACGATAGAGTTGCACGCAGTTATGCGCGTCGGCTGGTTGATGTGCTGCGTGCCCCCATTTTCAAATATCAACTCCGCAAACTTCCTCTCGACTTCACAATGGTAGGGGAAAAGTTCAGCCTCAGGCCACTGTATTCGGAGTAAATTGAAATCGCCCATGAGTAAGAACAGCGGACGACTCATTTGTTTGCGGACATGTGACAATCGGTTCAAGCAGCGGCTCAGTAGACTGCGATATACCACGCCCACGAGCATCTCGCAGCGTCTGAGGTGAATCGAAAATTAACGACCTAGTGTCAACTGAAGAAATCGTGGGCGTTCAAGCTGAGCTTGTTGGAGTGCTTGCAATTTGTTCCAGGCATAGATTCGCTAGCGTACTGGCTGGTGACTGTTTCTCTGATTGTGGTGCAGGACAAATCGAGCTGCACGTTTCAGTGCACTTCGCTCTACTGATCCCCTTGCCAGGCTTTTCTGCTCCATTCTACCCAACCTTAGACTGACATTGCTTACAAATAGTCTTCAAAGTCGTGCTGAACGCCTTGAATTACGCGAAATTGATCCACAGACAGACCAGTGCACGAAATATGGAACTTCACGCTGCATAAACTGCATGTACTCGCATTTGCGCGATGTGCAACGACTGCAGCAAATACCACAAAGTATCCGCTTTGCTATTTCAAAAATATGCACCGATAGATACGATTAAATCCGCATACTGTACTATCATAGAAACTGCAATTAGCTAGCACACGTATTTATGATGAAGTAATTCCAAATCACTAATGTGAATGAATTGCACAAATATTTATGGGATAAAACGACTGTAGCAATGTAAAAAACGAGGTAAACTGGCCTGACGAGGATGCGAACAAAATACGACTTGGACGGCGCTACAGGCAGTCGGTGATGAGGATGATAATAGTATAGGCATCATCATCGTCATTATACGCGTTGGCTAGAGGTGGAAAGCACCTCAGCTACTGTGCCGCAATACATAGCAAAAAGGAGAGAAAAAATGCAACAGGTGCAAGCCAGCTGAGCTACCGGTAACGGATAGGCATCGTTCCGGTGAGCTACCAGCAGGCTAATATGCAACAACAAATTACTATGCAAAATTATATAGGGCTAAATAGTGAGATGGTGGTTGGAGGAGGAAGCTGAGAGGGGTGGGGTGGGACAAAGAAACTCACAACACGAACACCACTGAGGTCGGCTCCTAGCCATATCAGCAAGTGTATCCAGCCAAACGTGTTCATCGTCTTTCGGACCCCAACCAGGGAGACGTGAAGCTCCAACCGAGGTCAGCTTCGAAGTGAGTGCCTCCATTCCTCTTGACCAGATCATCGTTTGGCCACCCCTCCTCTTCTCCCATCCACACCCCCGGCGCGCAAACAACACACGTCGCGGGAGTCGGTGGGCTGACATGCGTAACATGTGGCTGAACCATCGAAGTCTGGTGCGTGAAATGACGGTGCTGAGCGGTTCATTTCCTTTTCCTGTACCGTAAACAAGGCGTCGAACACGCTCGTTGCTCTCGCGGTGTTCACACCAGATGTGAGCTAAATTACGAAGGCACCGGTGGTCGAACGTAACTAGGCTCTTCAGGTCCGCTGCTTTAAGCGGCCAGGTTTCACAACCGTACAGTAGGGTCGAACGTACCGCTGCATTGTACGCTCTACCCTTCAGGGCAAGTGTGATGTCGCGCCGGCACCATAAGTGGCGAATGTTAGCAAAAGCGCCCCGAGCTTTTGCTATACAGTTCGTGATCTCATCTTCAATTCCACGGGCGCTGATACAACTTCCCAGTAGTTGAATTTTTGAACGACTTCTAGCTGATCCCCACCAAGGGTCAGCGTAGGAGGCGGTCCACACCAATCTTGGAGGAACGCTTTGCACTTCGATGGTGCGAAGCAAAGCCCGAAGTGACGGACAGCTAGTGCTAATCTGTCCGGTGCCGCTTTACACGTTTGTGAGCTGTCACAGATTAGGACAATATTATCAGCATACTCTAAGTCAAGAAGTCGTTCTCCTGGGAGCATATCCACACCTTCCAAGTCGTGTCCCGTGAACGCGATTTCCATGACAATAGTATAGGCGGTGCTATAAGTTGCTGTTTATCACCCTGCAGGATCACCACCCACCCGAAAACCACAACTTTAATATTCACCCGAGGAACTAATCTCGCTAGACATGTTAGACAGGTCGAAGATTTATTCCTAAGCATCTAAACTCCTTTGACACACATTGTGAATGTGGATCTCAGTTAAAAATGCGTACCATAAATACTCGGGGCGGTAGCTGAACCATAACCCAGTTGCTGAATGGGATCACTGTGAGACAGTGGTAACGAGACTGGGTCTTAACGTGGTGCGTCGGTTTGCGTACCTCTTTGACTCGTTCAGGTATACTGGTGCCCCCTGGCCTGTTGGGAGCTTCTCCTACCATGTTGTTCAATGGTTGGAGGTCAGAGGAGCTCAGTCTCCTGGTCCTCCAAGTTGGGAGTTTGAAGTTAGATGGTGTCTATTTCTATAAAACTAAATCATT